CTGTGTGCATTGAATTTATTTAATACACGAGTTTCACAATTTGAGTTGAATTACTGAAATGAACTTTTCCACGACATTCTAATTTATTGAGATGCACCTGTATGTCTAAAAACTAAATACAACTTGCTAGGCTAAACATATAGCACAATGGGGCAACAGTGTTGCATGCTACAGATTGAAACATCTCGTTACATTATGCTATTTAAAAAATAAATAATAAGCCATTTTCAGTGCATATACTCTCCGAACATAACCGAACAGAGATTTTGAGAACAAAGAAAACAAAATGTTGTGTGTTCAAACAAGTTTGCCTTTTCTCGCTCAAATCTGAATTACAGCTAATAGTGACACATCTTTAAAAAGAAACACTCACAGAATCAGATCTTTCAATGTTGGATCTAATCTTCCATTATTCATGTGTGTGTGTTATACAGGCATCAAATGGTTGGATATTGGCATCGCCTGCAGCTCTCAAAGCCATGCTGTCTGATGGGGGAGGGTAAGCAGCTCTCTTACTGTCTGAGTGCATACTGTACCGAGACACAGGAGAAAATGTTCCAGGCTTTGGCTGTCTGGATGCATGCAAACATTTGTGTGAATGTCTGTACAATGTGTGCACTTTGTTTTGGGGTGTGCATATTGTGTGTGCGTGTTCTGAGCGTGTGTGTGGGAGGGCAAGAGCTCTTCTTGCAAGACCCCATTAGAGAGCAGAACAAAGCGGCAGAACAAGAGGTAAAGGTCTGCCTCACGTCTGCAGTTCCCCACTGCAACAAAGCCAATAAATGATACCTGCTGCATTGCTAATGACATAATTATGTGTGCAAGTGTTCAGATTCACACACTTTCTAATGTATTTTGTTGTGGAGGCTTTCAATGGATGCTCAGATGTCTTGAGAAATAGTGAAAAGGAGTCATGAGTTTAGATTTAATATGCAGGTCAGAGCAAAATAGAGATTAGATCACATTTTTTAAGATGAGCTTGAAACAATATCACTAACTAGGTTTTGTTAGATTTTGAGAGTAATGTTTTCCTGTGTAAAGCTATGCAGTTGCTAGGATGTTCTGAGTGGTTAGTAGGGTGTTTAGAGCCATATGAAATCTGTTTTAATTTTTACCAAATTCTCTCCCCCCCCCCCCTCTGTTTTTTAATGGTTCAGTTCAATTTTAGTAATCACCTTTTGATTCATGTATAATTAATTAAAATGATCATAAATTACTATTATTATAAATTATAAACTACAGTTTTTGGGCCCTATGAAATCTGCATCATTTACCCCAAACTCCATTTTTGTGTTTTAAAGGTGTAGTATGTAATATTGACAGATAGCGGATGAAATGGGTACTGCAGTCCAAATTCAAAATATTGTTTCTACCGCCCCCCTCCTCAGACTCAACACTCACAGGGGTTGCCAGATTGAGGACATGCAACAGGGACAAGCACGACTGACATTGGTAGGCGACTAGGCTTAGACTGTTAGCTGATGAGGTGATTAATCCACGTTTTAATATGCCTCTGGTCATGGAGATTTTTTAGATGGTTGTCGAGGCTTTTTAGGTCGGGTAGAATCTGCGATCTCTGATCCAGTTCGTTTGCCAGTTTCCATGGCTGCAGTACGCCGTGTTTTCCGCCAACTGACAACCCGGGGTGTTGAAATACTATTGGGCAAATTGTCAATGGGCGGAATCACAGAGACCAAAACAAAAACAGACATTCCGACACAGAACGCACATTTCAAAGTAGAATAACTATCCGTAGCATATGTTTTTCAGAGAAACAACTATGTGAACTTAGCATGTTTCCTAATTATCTGCAATTATATATGGTATTTTTATGCTTTAGTACAAAAAATTACATGCAGCACTTTTCATTTTTTAATGGTTTTATTAAATTTTAATAATAAAAAGCATGTTTTTAAAACAAACAATATAATTATTTTATTTTATTAACAATTTTTATGTTTTTATGCCTAGATTTCTTGACTGATCCAGTTCGTTTGCCAGTTTCCATGGCTGCAGTACGCCGTGTTTTCCGCCAACTGACAACCCGGGGTGTTGAAATACTATTGGGCAAATTGTCAATGGGCGGAATCACAGAGACCAAAACAAAAACAGACATTCCGACACAGAACGCACATTTCAAAGTAGAATAACTGACTGTAGGATTGTTTTTCAGAGAAACAAGTATGTCAGCTTAGCATGTTTCCTAAATATCTGCAAACATTTTATGGTATTTTTATGCTTTAGTACAGTCAAAAAAGTATTATTTGCAGCGCCTTTAAGTTGCCTGGATTCCTTTTTTAATGGTTTTATTACGTTTTAATAATGAAAAGCATGTTTGTAAGACTTTACCAATTGAACTCTTTCTCCGCCAGTATTTTTTTCTTTAAAGTTGCCAGCCACCACCAGCATTTTTGATCATTTTCACTAATTTAAATGATTTTAATGGCACCCAGAATATTTTGTTGTATGAATATCTGAACATGCAATATGTCAAAACAAAGAACAGAGCCTCTGCTTTAAAAATAAAAAACACATTTTATTCTTAATGCAATCTTTTTTTATCAACACTTGAATGTGGGTAAGTTTAAGCTTGAAAACCAAAAGCTTTTCTTGAACAAAAAGCTGAGAAAATCGCTACGCCTGGATCAGATTCAGAACGATGATCAAATTATAGATGGAATAGATCACTTCCATCAACACACCAAAGCCCGCATGGTCCTATTCCACTTCCTGGACCATCATTTCATTCGGTAAAGTTAGGCAGTTTTGATTTATATGCTGTTTAATGTTTGATGATTGCGTTATGACATATGCATCTGCTTACATATGTGATTGCTTGTTTCTGCTTCTTCTTCGCTGTGTTTTGATCCAGACGTTCAGTAATCTTTCAGAAGATGTGTAATAGCACCTCCTACCATACACCAGTGAAAACGCGGAAAGCCAGACAATTCTGTCAATGGCGGGGAAAGAGTTAATAATTGTATGTATTTATTAATTTTTCCAGCAATGGAAATTAATTGTGCAGCCCTACTTTTGATTTACTCATCCAAAATGTGTCAAATTACATGACATTGCGACAGATTTTTATTTTATGTCTGAATTTCATGACTTCACCCGTGTTTTCTGCATGGCTGAAATCATAGGGCCCTAGGTGATGCTCTGTGGTTGTTATTGTGTTAATGTCAGTAAATAATAGTGCTGTTTGCCTTAGCAAACACCACTGATGAATAACTCCGAGAACTGTATGTGCAAGTGCATGTGTGAATGCTACTTGTCTTTTTTCCTCTCCACATGCTCAGGACTCTCAGGCAATCCTTTGTGTGAGAGTGGTCTGTGTGCATGTGTGGGTGTGTGTCCAGTCAGGCCGACTGAGGCCATTCCTGCTCCAGGGATGATGCTTTATACAGACGTGAAGTGGATGCCTAGCTGGAAATGTTATTGCTTAGAGGTTGCTCTTTCATAGCACAAGAGGTTTAATGGAGGTTTAAGGGTCAACTTTGTCTCAGGTATTTCTCCTTTCTTTTTTTTTATTAAGTGAAATACACACAAATAAGACTATAGTTGACAAACTAATGAAAAAAAAAAAGACAATTGCAGTTTTCATTGCATTCTGACTTTAATTAATATATAAAATATTTGCTTAATACTGTATATTTATTTTTAATTAATAATAAATAATAAAATAAAGTTATATTTGTTAACATTTTTAAGAAATATTGCAGTTTCTATTTTAAATCATAACAAATTATTATTATTATTATTATTTTTTTTTTTTTGTAGATAGAGAAAATACAAAAATGGAAAAGTCCTGCCCAACTTTTTTCTCATTTGAGAGGCATTTTTACTCGAATGTACATCACAAAAGATCATCACTATTTCCACTTCATGCTGACTTTAATTAATATACATATAAAATGCATGAGTGCAGCTCTTGGAAGATTTTAATGTTAATGTTAATTTGGAGATTTTTGTATATTCGTCATGCACGTATGTTATCTCTGTTTTGGGATCATTTTGTTCACTGTTCCAAACAGTCTACATGCACTTGCACATGCTTGTCTCCACTGCTGTTACAGTATGATCAATTGAGCTAAACAAAACAGTCCAACTTCCTGTATCAATGTGATACAAGTCATAAAACATTTTACTGTCACATTATTCTTAGAGCTGAAGGCATCATAATGTAGTTTGCATGTTACATGTTAGATTTACAGGCAAGCGTTGAACATAATTGTCTCTGCACCAAATCCCTGCAGAACCTGTGCTGTTGCAGAACGTTGCACTTGGCATGCTGGGACACTGAATGGCTTTGGTTAGTGGGGACAGATGGATGAGGGAGGATGTGAAGGATTGATGGCACAATTTTGGACTTATCTCCACTTCCTGTCGGTGTGCTGTTGGCCAGCTCATTGGCTAATTAGTATGGCAGCGATGATGTCATTGTACAGTCAACATCGCTGAATGAATTTCTAACATTTGTTTAACAGTAAAAAGACTTGGGGAAGCCTTTTGCATTAATATTGATGGTAAATAAATATTAAGGATACCAAATTACTACTATTAATTGCTACTAATAAAATCATAAAATTATTCTTATAGTTATATTTTATAATAATTTATAATATATTCATGCATTATTTCTAATATATTATTATTAAAAATAAATAAATGTTTTTTTAGTAATGAGAAAAATAACTTTTAATATATTTTTTCAAATAAGGAATTTAAAGTTAACCTTTATTATAACCCTAATTATTATAATGTTGCGATGTGTATCATAATATTATTTTATAATTATATTTTATAATGTATAATTTCTATTATATTTATAATATTTGTATAATATATCAAATATTATTGAATATATCATATGTATTATTATTATTATTATTATATTTTTGAAATTATAAAAAATAATCCAGACTACAGTAATAATATATATTTTTTAATGTTTATTTATATTAATATTATAATATTATATATTAATTATTATTATATTTGTTATAATATTTGTATATAATATTGTTATTATTATGATTATATTTTTGAACAATACAGTCACATTTTCTTGTCTTTTAATAACTTTTTTTTTTTTCAAAAGGATGACCTGTATTATAACCCCAATTATCATTATGTTGTGATGTTTAACATGCAACTCTATAAGATCAGAAATCGAGATGAGGTGCAGTATTTGAGTATTCTACATTAAGTAGCGTTTGAGTGTGTGACTGCTGCTGTACTACTGCATGATTTGCCGTGATTAACAGAACAGCCCAAGTGCCTGTGGGACTTTATTAAGACCGCCAAGCAAATGAAAATGACAGGTTGTTGACCCCTTTTTGGAAAGTGTTTCCTGTGTCTCTCTCTCTCTCTTCTCGCCTGGCTCAAGCCAATATGACAATGAGGACACATCACAGGGGATCGCTGGGTTGGAGAAGACTGCCCTCCATTACAACACACACACACAGTAGAACATGACCTTGAGAAGCCAGCATTCAT